AAGGGCATGCTCCTCGACTAGCTGAAAAGTTACTCTCCTTTTTCGAGCAGGTAACTTGGCCAGCAACTTTTGCACCGCTTGCAACACCATGGCGTAAACGAGAGTGACGTAGACGCTCATAACGTTGTCTCTCCCACCTTCATTTGCCCCACCCACCGCTCTATGTGTGAATAGAGGGAGCCATGATAATGAAAGACCTGCCAAGGTGTGTGGGCTGGGACATTGTTGTCAGTCAGGAACCATCTGGGACGAATTGTGGCGGTCATGTCGCAATCACCAGTGTCCGATGGCCTCATCCGCCTGCTCTCTCATATCAGCTATCAACCTTGAACGACGACTTCTCAGTATTTTTCCTGTGCTGCTGAATATCTTGTCACCTTGGCGTCCCTGCTTCAGCGAGTCACCCGCGATTTTTGGTAGCGTGCTCTGGGGGAGGCGAGAAAAAAAATTGGAAGGAGGTGAGAGACCGGGGTAGGGCGAAGAGTGGGAGAGCACTGTGAAGATTGCGTACACCAACGCATGGCGAGCAACGTGTGCTAGCCTGGCCATAACATGAGCTTGCAGAGTAGTTACTGCACATTTTCAAGCTGTGAAAAAAAGCGCAATATCACTGGTTGGGGACATGCAGTTACGGCACAAGTAAGCCGTTAATTCGAAATAACTGTTCCCGGAATGTGCCTTCAGGGCAGCTCGATCAAGTGGGCTTCTCTTACTCTTAGGCTAAGGTAGAAAAAGCAATTCAGTTCCTCTTGAGAGTGATGAATTTCCGAAAGCTCAAAAAAGCTTTGTAGCGTGTGTTTGCACGTTTCTTTCTGACGATGATCGCTGGCTGCAGCTTGGACGCAACGAGAGAGCGGTTTCATTCTGTCGTGCGCGGTAGGAGGGGAGAGGGAGGGGAACACCGAAGAACATTCGCGCCTCTTCTCTAGTCGAGGCTTAGAGCGTATACGATCAGAGTTGCCGTGGGTTACCCTTGCAGCAGAGTTGGTCTCTACTCCACTCGCACCGTCAGCGCTTCGAGCTTTGGTTGTGGGATGAGACTGAGAGATCCCGTGAAGTGGTCCTCGCTCCCACTCATCCCCTACTGCCTAATTCCTTTGCGCGAAATCTAACGGGGATGAGCGCTATGTGTTCCAAAAAACGAGAATTCATTCCCAATCATTCAGAAATTCACGCTGTTCACAACTCTCGTGATCGGAGTTCAGGCTATCGATTCGCTAAAGGAAGTTCATAACGCAGGGTTTGTTGCCAAAATTTCTGAGAGATTCCTCTCAATGGAATCAGTGAAAATCATTCAGCTACGTCCATCGTGATGTAAAACCGTCAAACTACGCCATCGGAGAGGCTGGAACGTCAAGGGAGAAGCTGATCTACATACTCGATTTTGGACTTGCTCGATCATATCAAGTACGTCTGAGTACTGAATGTCAGAATTATAAGGGAATTTTTCCTCATTCAGAGAGTTTTGCCCGATGGTAAGGTAATCCTCCGAAATCCACGGAGAACAGTACAGTTCAGGTTGGTAACATTCATGGGATTACCTGTCAAAATGCAATGTGGATAGCGCAGGGTTCGCGGTGAAACCACACTGTAAATAGCCTATTTCGGCGCTGTTTGTCGAGGGGGGCATTTTGTACTACCATTGCTTCCCTAGTTCCGGTTTACAAATCTCACCCTGGTAAAACTTGTGAACCCTTGTGAAGCTGGTGCAGGATCGTCTAGCCACCATCCTAAAACGTGTCAACTCGAGAAAAGGCTACCTAGATGGGTCGGCACATCTATGGAAAGCAGAATGCCCCCCCCCCCCCGTCGACAAACTGCGCGGGCCTATTTCTTGAACAATTACCATTACTAGGGCTTTCAGAGGAAACACCCGCTACTCGTGCAATCTTAATGCCCACTAGTCGGGCAAGAGCAGGCGCCGACAGGATGATCTCTGGAGTCTTTTCTATATGCTCGTCGAAATGCTTATCGGAAACTTGCCGTGGTGAGTTGGAAATACCGCAGTAATCCGCATAATTCAGTAGAAAGTACTTCTTTCCCCCCTGGTTGGGGGGGGTATACTGTGCTACTACTATTGCGTTGCAGTTGTGTTTGCACTAGTGGAGTGCATACCGGAGACGCTTTCACTGGGAGTGTCTAGGTATTTTCCCATGGCATCTACTTGCCCAGCCAGTTCGCAAGCGGAGAAGGAAAAGAGAGAAGGAACAGAGAGTAGAGGAAGCGAAGTTAGGGAAGGAGAAAGAGGAAGCGAGAAATAGGTAAGAGGCGTCCTTCGTTGAGGAGAGTGTCTGAAACGGCTTAGATGACTTCGAACCAGGTCCAACAGGGTGCAGCAACGCACCCCCCCCCCCCTCCTCTTTGCTCCAGACGGTGCTGTCTGTGAGTTCTTCAAGGCGCACACAAGTGAAGGGTGCCTGGGAATTGCGATATTCTACGTGTCATTATCCAAGGCCATGGGCAACGAAGGTCAGTATTCGTTCAGCGCAGTCAGCTCGTGCCGGAGTTTCATCATATAAGCGACACCGACTGCCTGGGAGGAGGGGGCTCAAATGATACTGGACTCTCTTCCATCGGGACAGTGCAGAGCCATAACCGCGCAAGGCATCTGCAAAGCAGGCTGCAGCTGATATCTGACGGGGAGCTCGGAATAGTGGCCAGTTCATGAAGAAAACACAACCGCAAACGGGCTCATTGCACGACTCCTGGCACTGCCCCGTCGGACTGTGATGGCATCGGCTGGGATTCATATAAAAGTCCATAAAGTGGGATGGATACATTGTTACAGAAAGAGAGGGGTTCATTTTGCCTTCCAAGCATACTATTTTAACAACTGACGTGATATTTACAGGAAGAATATGACTGACCACGGTCCGACGGAGCGTGAAAAGATTCAAAGAGAAGGTGAACTTCTTGAACAATGCCCAAAGGAGTTTGAACTGTACACCTTGCATTTGAAGCAGCTCAGCTACGCTATTGCACCAGGTTTGTAGGCGCTAATGTGCCAGTTTCATTCCTCGTAGTAGCAATGACGCTTCTGGTTGGAGGGCGGTAGTACTCCTCAAGGCAAACTCAGCAAGAATTGATATAATTATTCCCTCCTGATCACTGCGAACCCATTCACCCCTACGATTCTATTTGCTTCCATTCCAGCAAATCAAAGGGGGTGTATGGAGCCTTCGATATATAATATCAATGAAATCTATTTACTGCTCTAAAATGTTCGAAATACCCAGTAAAGGCACAGGCCCACTGGTGATTTGGGAGGGGATAAACACTCGGTACGCCTCATCCGTTCGGTGGCCTTCCTCCTCTCTCAGTCACGAGACGACTGAAGTGCGATTACAAATCCCCGCCCCTTGAATTACGCGGAATGAAACTGTTGAGTAGCGAACATCCGACATATTCCACATTCATCAGCCTGTCTACACTGGCTCCTCTACCCAGCCTTGTCCTAGATTGCAGCATTTAGATCATTCGCAGCCGCTCTCTTGGGAAGTATTGGATAAAGAATGGATCAAAGATCGTTAGGAATCCCATACGGTTTTGAGGTCCCAACATTTCGCTGTTCTCAACCATGACGTCCCGTGAGTGATGGACTCCGCCACTTGATTCCCAAGATGAAGAGGCTGTAGTCGCACATGTGTTACTCCTCGTATTACTGAATGATTTCCAACGGGAACAGCTCAGATTTCAGTGCAGATAGAATTTAGGTAAAGTATAGTTCGCTGCGGACGGTTGGGCATGTCAGACGGGATAAGTTTGGCGCGGTGCCAAACCCGTTCTCCACCAGTTGTTGAAGCGAGCAAATGATATGACTGTATCACGTATTACTCGTTTTCTACCACTTTTTGTCGCATGCGCGCCTCAACACGAAGGCGGAAAGCGGCTTTGGAGTGACCACCTATAGAAATTGAATACACTTTACTTTGCTGTGGACGGCTGGGCGTGTCATGTGACACAGCGAACCAGAGTGTACAAGGGGGGGGGGGGCAAAAAAAGTCACTTCGACCGAGTCACATATCAGCAAAGTTTTCGCAGCCCAGACAGAGGACGTGGATACGAGTACCAGGGCGGAAGATACCCAAGATGTTCCTCGATAAGCAGGAGCTGGCTCTCGCCCATCACCTTCATGTACACCTCATCTCCAATCGCAGCCTGACTGGAAAAGGCCTCTGGAATTCACGTCACCTCCAAACAGCTGCGAAACTTCTAGTATGGAGTCACCCATGGATAGCTACCTGGAGACCAGTACTCTCGATCTGGAAGACCTCCAACATCGAGCAGCTCCGACGTCGCTACGGTCCAGGATATCATCTTCACCGCAGTCGCCAAGGCGCGGGTTGATGGTATGGACCGGCGGTTCCTGAAATGAGAAGACCGATATTTTCTTTGTGGGCCCCGGACTGGAAGTGAGCGCTGACGGTTACATCGACCAACTCGTGGAGAATATCCTGCCTTCATGTCATCGCCTGTACCTTCTTGGAGACTTCGTACTGCTACAGGATTGGGTGCCTCCACACGGAATCGAAGGGCGTTGGAAAAACTCTCGCCTACTTGGAATGGAAGGGCGTTGAGTACCTGAAGAAACGGAATATCCAAGTGTGTCACCTGACCTAAACCCCCTCAATTACCCGGTTCGGGCGGAGCTCAACAGGGTGGTCTACAGTGGCGGAGAAATCAACGATCTCGCTGAACTCAGGCACCGAACCATGGTCGCGTGGCAGAATCTCTCGATGGCCTTGGTCCAGAAGGCTGTGGCGGAGCTTCATTAGTATACAATATGCTCTTAAAGGCAGTTGGCACGATGATTCGGTGCTCGGCTAAAATGCTAGTAGGGCGCTATATAGTGGGGAAATGGCGAAAGAACGGAGTGAAACGGTCAAAATCCTGCGAAGAAAAAGCCTCCGTTCTCAATGTGTTTCAATTTTGGACGAGTTTTCCTGTAGACATCTTGCCAATAACCGCTACCGAAGGTACGGCTGCATATGTGTACCCATATATGCATGCAGCATCACGGCCGCTTCATACCAATCCCTTCGCTTCATAATTTGCTTAGCAAATGAATCGATTAGAGCGTCAGGAACGGTCGTCCATTTGTGGGCGGGCGGGCGTGGCGGGCGTTTGGGTCGTAATGTTGTGGCTTGATAGGGCCAAGGGCACCTCCCTTGGAAAAGGCATTATGCAGCGCCTGCTCAGGGTCGCGGAATTCCGTCCTGCCAGGCGTATTAATCCTACTCGTCTTGGGGGATTTATCGCGCCAACTGCCATTAAATATGGTGGTGGGAATATCTAATCAGAAGTCAACTAGGTGTAACTTACAGCGCCTTAAAAGTCAAGGAAGAAAAGTGTCTTTTTTTTGCCCCATGTATTTAAAGGTAATTACTTCTGTAACATGAGACATGAATTACATACAGATTATGAACTCCTTCGCAATATGCTCCTCCAAGCATTTAAAAAGAACAACTTCACATTAACTATGAAACTGGACTGGGAAAAGACAGGATTACATGGCAATCTTTTTAGCTGGAACCGCTGCACACTGTAAGTCCAATTGCTGCCATGATTCATTAAGTTGGATCCTGAAGCTAGTTCACGGATTTCAGGCCTAGGGTCATTACAAGAGATCCAACTGCGGTCACTTTGGAACAGTTACTGCAAATTCCTGGAAAACTGGAGGAAATTACCGAAGACGTGAGCACTCAAAAATACTGCGCTGGAAACGTTTCGAATGTGACTAGCCGATTTTAGATGGCTATGAGAACCTTGGAGAGGGAGCTTTACGCGACAAATTCGTCACAGGACGATACTCTTGACGAAATGAGCAGTCCAGGGAAAGAAAAAGAAAAAGAAAAGTCGGTCATGGTCATGGTCAGTGTCCCTCTTTCTAAGATCGCCCAGATTGATACTCCCGGATGGCGAGTATTTTCCAAAAGTGGGCGGAGCTTCTCTCATAGTAGGCGAGGCTACCCGTAGCCAACCAAAAATCCAAAAATTTTTAGGGACTCAATATTTTGCAAGATGGCGCAAAGTGGGCGCGGTTAAGGGGTTGGAGCTAGAGTACTGACAGTTATGGACAAAGTCAGATCTCTGATGTGACCGAAGGCCGCAAGCGTATGGTAATCGGGAGATGCGGGTTCGAGTCCCGTTTGAGATCTGACTTTTGCTCATAATTGAGCACTCTTCTGATGACTTTCGGAGCACGCAGCGCGGCGTTAAACAGCACAGTTACCAAACCGAAACGAATATTTAAAGGCAGTTGGTACGATAGTATGGTACTC